CACAGGTCATACAAGGACCTGACAGCCCATATCAAAGGGGCCGGCACCTCGTACTCCCGGAGAACCCCCCACAGGGCCCCCCGAGGGACACGGTCGAACGCCTTCTCCAAGTCCACAAAGCACATGTAGACTGGTTGGGCGAACTCCCATGTACCCTCCAGGACCCTGCTGAGGGTATAGAGCTGGTCCAGCGTTCCACGAATAAATGTATGGAGTAAAATTTACTCCATTATTGTGGCAAGCAAAGAGCATGTTTTGTAAATAGAAAACATAAAAAAAACACTGAATTGATAAATTAAACCTTTTAAAATTGTAAAAGGTTTTAAGAGAAACTTTTTTTTTCTCACTTTTTTTTTTCCAAGTACATTTTTGTATATTTTTAAAATGTTTTTATAGAATTTCATTTGTTCTAATTTTTATATGTCTGATAGTTTTATTGCCGTGTTTAAATTCAGCGGCTGCGTCCTCAGAAGGCTAGATTTGTCGCCTGATTACGTCATAGCGCGGCGCCGAGGCTGTTTGGATTGGAGGCCTCCTCGTTATGCGACCGACAAATGCAGCTTTCTTTTTGCCCGTGTTGAAGGAATGGTCCGCTGTTTCCTACACAGCCTTGGATATCCCATGATTCATTGTGAGTTCAAGCAAGCCGACCGCTCCATGCTCAGAGGAAAACGGGTCCAAACAGGTGAATATTGGAAATGCAGTTCAATATAATACAAGTACATGAATCGTTTAGGCTTAATGAAAATAGGTGATTTAAATGGTTTTCGAATCAGATAAGTTGTGGGTAATTTTTGGTTTATTTTCTCTGTGCAAATGAGTTTGGCTGACATTTAAGTTTAGATTCCAATATGTGGCGATTACAAATCTGATATCTACACTAGAAAAAAACGAAAGTCATTTTTTCTTAAAATAATGAGGAGGTAAAAGAGACATTTTGCCAATGGAACAAGACAATTTACATTTAAAATAAGAAAACACAGCATTGTTTTATTTTAAGTGCATGTTATCTACTTATCTTATTTTAAGAGTAAAAATATTCATTCCATTGGCAAAATATCTCATTTAACAACTCAAATTAAGGGTAAACACACTTAATTTAAGAAATCTTTACTTATTTCTAGATCGTTTTTCCAGTGTATGATGATGGAACTGCTGCTGAAGCTCCAAATGAAATTAGCACACAGAACAAATGTGTGAGAAGTTCTGCTGAGAAGTTCAGCATCCATTCTTTGCCTGCTTTTTGAGTCAACTGTTGCTAGGCGACTAACTGAACTCTTCCAGCCTCCTTATTTTCCAGACCATTGGAGGAACCAGTCCAGGTAGGCCGGGTCCTTGGAGGACGAATCAAACAGGCATCCTCTTCATTGCATTTGGTCGACTGGTTGTTAGCAACAAGAGTTTTATTGGTCAGGAGTGAGAATTTCTTTTGGGATTGAAGTGAAGATAATGTAATATGTGAAATACAATTTAAAAATCCAAAAAAGTTGAAAAGCAGCTTTCCAAGTTGTAAGATGTTTTCCTTCCCATCCAGGAAGCTTTTTTTTTCTGGATGGGAAGCAAAATGTCTTCAAACTTTTTTTTTTTTTTACTTTTTTGGAATGACTATGACCTGGATGACTGAGAATCTTCACTAGCAGTTTGTAAAACTCAATAAAAAAAAAGAAAAATACAAAATACAAAAGCTGTAAAATATAAATCTGGAAAAAAAAAATGTAAAAATGTGAGAAAACAGAAAAGTTAATCTCAAAATCATTTCTTTTTAATTAAAACACTTTTCAGTTTCATTCCTGAATATTGTTTTTTTTATTTAAATTTTTTTTAAATTTACATTTACAAAACATGTTCTTTACTTACAAGCAGCAACTTTACATGTAAGGTCAATGGTTGATGTGCATCGAGATGAGGCAAAACGTCCTGCAGCAAAAGCAGCAGCTGCTGGACTTGGAGAAATTGAACTTTTGCCGCTCAAAGCGCCACATCAACCAATCAGAGAAGCTGATCTGGGAGCTGGCAGAGAGTCAGACACAGCACTGCTGATGCAGAGCGCTATGATCACTCCTCTGAAAGTTTATTAACGCCTAAATTTACTTAAAATACTGAAATCTGCAGGCAAGACATGTTCACTTTTATTATCCTGGTGCCTGCAGTTTGGCTTTCGTACATGAAAAACATCTTTCAGCCGCTGCGGCAAACCGCCAAGAGGTGACCGAGGCAGAGGCTGCTGTTGAATGGGATTCCCAGTGACGGCGCACCGCCGCTATGTGGGGGTCTGAGCGGCTCCGACAGAAATAATATTTAAAGGCAGGATGGTAATCTGGATGAACTGACTGCACAGATTAAGTTTTCAGATGAACTTTCTCACTTCAAAATAGATTCAAACTACTTTTCACCCGCTGATCACAGCAAATCTAGCTGCCATCGTTTCAGGAAAAGAAAGGATAAGGTAGCTCCGCCCAATGCGCATCAGACCCACTTTTTGACGGCGCAGCCAGAGCAGCAAAAGCTGCTTCAGCCGGGAGTCAGAACTAGAATGGTCCAAGAATCAAAATGAAGTACCACGTGCGTTTTTGCTGCTTGCGGTCTGAACGTAGCAGGTCTGCAGTTTCACAAATAAGGATGAGTGAATGCATGTGGCTCAGCTCTGCTGTTTAAAAGCTATACGAAGTAAAAAACAAAACAAAAACAAGCCTTGGGTCATAAAAAGTTTTATTCAGGAACCTTTTATCTTTTACATAATGACTATCGACATAGTGGCACACTGATGACATCATAGAATCAACATACAGTAAAGGGCTCGTCAGGAACACGCCTCTCTCCCTGTGCTGATTAAGATTTGAGGATTTACTCTTAATGCACCGAGGGGAGCCGCCTGGTTTAGGCCATTTAAGGCTTTTCAATTTCTATTTGGCTGAACCTTCATCTTAGGCCTGAACATTTGGAATAAACTCCTAAAATCTTTCCACGACAACGTGGATACGAAGTCCTCTGAGAGAAAAAGCTACTGCTAAACATAAAGGGGAGCGCCACTCAGTTTGGTAAAAGTTAGATGGGTTTCAGGCGACGACCTAAACGACAAAGCTGCTGTAATTATACGAAAACAGAAATCTGATGGTAAAAAGCATTTTTATCCACAAAAAGTAAGAATTGAGTGGCAATCCTCTTTAAAACATCTGCCTAACATTTGGAAAAAGAGACTGTAATGTGCAAGACACACACACCCACACACACACACAACTCTCAGGACATCTCTACTAAAAGCGCAGGATTATAAAACACTGACATCATCGAGAGGACGTGCTGTACAGAGAGCTGGGAGCGACACCCGCCTCCCGCCTCTTGCTCAGTCACAATCATGACGAAGGAGCCATGCTGAGTGTGCAAACCGAGTGAGTAAGTCTCCTCTGCTACCGGCTGATTCAGTGGAGCTACATCGAGTGTGGCGGTAAGGAAAAGCTCTAAGTGTTTACAGCAAACCAACGGACAGAGAAATAAAGTAGAAGTCCTTCTGCAGGCGGCGACGGCGTTCCTTCATCTGGAGATAATCCCCTCCGTTAGGAACGGCTCACAAATATCACGACATCAAAAATACGAGTGGATTTTATTCACATTCCCAAAATTCCAAAGTTTTCCAGACAGCGGCGGTCCTTTTAAAGCAACGTCTCGCCGTGTCTCAGCTTAGCTCTCTTCAGAGGGACACCTGTGTTCTGTTCTGGGCTCCTCCTGCAGAGCAGAGCGACCCCCACAAGGGGGCGCCTTTAGGCAGAGCTCGGAAATATGAAGCTCCTCAAAGCTGGTGGAAGGAAAGTAAGAATGGAAAAGTGGTGAAACTGGACAGAAATGCGATGGGACCCCGTCCTCGTCGACGCCGGCTCCCTCTGAGCGGCGTTTAGGTCGGTAGCGGGTCGTCGTCGCCTTTGCTGCATTTGCACTTGCAGCAGAGGACGATGGGGGTGGCCAGCAGGAGGAAGGGCGAGGCGACCAGCAGGAGCAGGCCAAAGCCGGCGAAGATCCCCACAACCTGAGAGGAAAAGGATAAATTAATGAGAACCTCTTTCATTCAGAAAATAAAATGTTCCAGCAGTCACATGGAGGATAAACTAGCAGAGAAGCTGTTTGCAAGAATAGGGATGGAAAATTAGTTGGAAGGACAAACTGTGGTAAAAATATAGCAACAGGGGAACGACATTGTAAGGCTGAAATCAGGTTGGTTTAAATTTTAAAGACCAGTTGATAAGAACAGAAGCTTCAAATGTTAAAATCCTCATGTTTGGAAAAATCATTGACAAAAAAATTCTTAAGATGACATAAAACCGAACCAACAATGTAAGTAAGTTATGTTTATTTATATAGCACTTTTCACACACAGAGGTCACAAAGTGCTTCACAAATTCCAATACAGATAAAAATATATTTACATTTAAAGTCACAAAAGACATAAAACAACAGTTTGCCCTTAAAAACATCAACAAAATCAGGTAAGCGCAAGGAAAGCGGAGATTGTTCCAGAGCGCCGGTGCGACCGCGTGATAGGAGCGATCTCCCCTGGTCATGTAACGAGTAGAAGGGACCATGAGCAGGTTCTGGTCCTGAGACCTCAGCCTCCGAGAGGCGGCATAAGGACACAACAAGTCGCTAATGTAGGAGGGAGTCTGACCGTGAAATGCGGACAAGCAACCTGGGCTTCCTGAACAGAACCACAGGCCGATCTCCTCCATGCTTCTCTGCATAGATGCACCAATTCAACCACAAGGAGCCGAATGCATCGAATGCACTGAATGTACAGGACAGCTACTGATCAGTTGGCAATATTCTGTGTTTACAACTTATTTCAGTTTGTTTTTTTCTGCAGAAATATACAATCAAATAGTAAAACATTTATATATGTTTCTCTGTGTGAAAAGGTTTATATAGTTTTACATTTTTAATTTAATCATGAAAATAAACACATTCTTTATTGATACTCTAATTTATTGGCCTTCAGCAAATAAACTGCAATTGCCAATATTGGACAACAGGAGGCAGCAAATACCTCCAATCCAAAATCCTTTTTTCCCCCCTTTTCCCTACAACAAAAACAATTTAAGGAAGAAATTTTATAGAAACTAAGCTTCCCAGTTTTATTCATAAACTCTAAACAACAATAATTCAGTAGCTGAGGTCAGATGAGTATTTATTATATTTCTGATTTAAAATATAGGTGAAAGAAAGAAGGAAAGAAAGAAAGAAAGAAAGAGAGTTGTTTACATAATAGTTTAAATAAATCTTTAAAATTTATAAAAATATAAAAAAGATGAGAAAAGATGAAAAAAGGTAAAAAAATATGAGAAAAATAAAGATGTAAAGTAAACATTTTAAAACAGTGCAATTTATTTAATTCGCCACGAGGGGGAGCCAAACACCTGCAAACTCAATGCCAACAAATTAGGAAATCAGAATCAGATGTAAGGATGACTTGTTTTTCTCTTTGTTTGTGGAGAAGAGGACATACTTGAGATTTTTGTCTAATTCTCTCCTTCCTGTTTTTTTTCTCCTGGAGAGAAGAAGACTTTGTCAGAGACGCACGGGTTCTACCAACTGATAGAGATGGCGCTCTCTGGTTTAGAATACGGACATGGACAGGTTGGCAAACATCTTCATCCTGGAACATTGCGTGTTTCTGAGGCAGCAGAAGGAAGGCTGTCTGGGATGTAAAGCAGCCAACCAAGGGTGAAACAAGGAGAGCGAGACAGTGAGAGACGGAGCAGCGAAGCTTCTGCAGATGAACTGTAATCACATGACTCAGCCTGCCCCACTCACAGCAGATGCCAATGTGTATGCTAATGCAGGGAAAATAGCAAGTACGTTGGACGCAGTGATGCACCGCGCCGTGAATAGAATGCACTGCTGAACTTCATGAATATTACCATCTGTGGCGAATGAAGAGCAGATCATAAATTCTGTTCCCACTGAGAGGCCAAAACATCTTTTCCTGAATTTATTTTCTTCACCCGGAAAATAAAACCAGTTGGAAGCCAGAGAAAGTTTGCAACATGAGTTGATATTTATTCATTAATGCTAAAGTGATGCATCTGCAATGATACACAAACAAAGAAAATCAACAGAGCAGTTGGACTCTGCAACATGACTGAAAAAAAATGCAGTAAACCCACGAGGTACTGACTGAGAATGAAGCAGCCAGGGTCTAGTCAAAGCCCAAACTGTTGGGAGGTGATTTGAAACGGGCTGTAATAAAGAAAACCTTCAATCAGCTTATAAATGAGAAGGATTGGAACAAACTGTCCTTAGATCCAATATATACATATTGGGGAAAAAGGTGTAACTTTATGATGAAAGTTGGACTTTTTAAGACTTCTTAAGACTTTTTAAAGCCACCTGAAATAAAAATTTAAGACCAAATTCACAAGAAACACAAGAAAAACCTGCTTGCGACAACTTAACCCAAAGGTTT